TGCTGAACTCACGGACGGCAGCCGGAGAGCCCAGCCCTTACTCGGGTTCCAGTGTCCCCTTCCGTCAGTAAGCAGCGACGCAAGCAATGGGACGGCCAGTCCCTCGGAGGCAAAGTCGAAATCCCGAGAGAGGGCCGCGCGCCCGCTACCCCCGGGGCGGGGCCCGGAGCGCCCACCACGCCCCGTTCCAGACCAGGCGGCGATGAGTCTCTCAGGCTCTCCCAGCACAGACGCCAGACCCAGATGTTGCTCCTGTCCGACCTGTCCCAGCTTCTTGCACCGTACTTTTGCGAGACGGATTGTGTTACGACGAGAGGCTTCAGCTCTGCTGAAAAGGCATTTATCTGAAACCTGCCCCTTTCTCTGCGGTTTCACTCTCCATGTTTGGCGCACAGGGTAACTCACACGTTCCCAAATACATAGGGGGTAACACAATAAACTGCCTGAAACCGAAACGTCATGCCTGCTCCAGTCTCTGCTCCACGGAATTTTACATTAAATACGATCTGAAATCCCCCTGGGGCCTTGGGTTTGCCAGGGAGCCTGCTTTGGGGAATGGTTTCTATGGAACTCCTGGGATGACTGTCCTACTCAGCTGCAGACACGTGTCCTATTGAAATGGACAGGTTTTGCGAACAGGGAACAATGAGGTTGGTGGAAAAGCAGCATCGAGGTTCCGTTTTTTCACCGTCGTCCAATTGCTGGTCTTGCGAGGTGTCTGAGCGCCGTGATGACAGATGCGTACAGGTGGGGTGTCCCCAAAAGCAGCAGCGATCCTATTCCATCACGGCAGCAGCGGGTGCCTGCCCCCGCGGCCCCTCCGTGCGGCCACGCGTGACCGCCTCACCGGTGCTGGGCACAGCACATGGCCTGGTCCCCGCAGCGGGCCTTTCCACCTCACGCCCCCCACGGAGCTCCACCGCCGCCCTCCCCTCTGGGGTCCTCTGCTCTCACCCGTGCTGCTGAATCCCAATCGCAACCCAAGACGTGTGGGTGTTACCGAGCGGGGTGCTGACGGCCGGCGTGCCTCAGCCCCAGGGCCACCTCCAGCCGCCGTGCTTCGGTTTGGGGGGCTGAGATATGGGGGGCCACCTCCAGCCACCGTGCTTCGGTTTGGGGGGCTGGGAAGTGGGGGGCTACCTCCAACAGCAGTGCTTCGGTTTGGGGGGGCTGGGAAGTGGGGGACTACCTCCAACAGCAGTGCTTCGGTTTGGGGGGCTGGGAAGTGGGGGACTACCTCCAACAGCAGTGCTTCGGTTTGGGGGGCTGGGAAGTGGGGGGCTACCTCCAACAGCAGTGCTTCGGTTGGGGGGCTGGGAAGTGGGGGGGTATCTCCAACAGCAGTGTTTGGTTTGGGGGGCTGGGAAGTGGGGGGCTACCTCCAACAGCAGTGCTTCGGTTTGGGGGGCTGGGAAGTGGGGGGTACCTCCAACAGCAGTGCTTCGGTTTGGGGGCTGGGAAGTGGGGGACTACCTCCAACAGCAGTGCTTCGGTTTGGGGGGCTGGGAAGTGGGGGGCTACCTCCAACAGCAGTGCTTCAGTTGGGGGGCTGGGAAGTGGGGGGTATCTCCAACAGCAGTGCTTTGGTTTGGGGGGCTGGGAAGTGGGGGGCTACCTCCAACAGCAGTGCTTCGGTTTGGGGGGCTGGGAAGTGGGGGGTACCTCCAACAGCAGTGCTTCGGTTTGGGGGGCTGGGAAGTGGGGGACTACCTCCAACAGCAGTGCTTCAGTTTGGGGGGCTGGGAAGTGGGGGGCTACCTCCAACAGCAGTGCTTCGGTTTGGGGGGCTGGGAAGTGGGGGACTACCTCCAACAGCCGTGCTTCGGTTTGGGGGGCTGGGAAGTGGGGGGACTACCTCCAACAGCCGTGCTTTGGTTTGGGGGGCTGGGAAGTAGGGGGACTACCTCCAACAGCCGTGCTTTGGTTTGGGGGCTGGGAAGGGGGGACTATGTCCAATAGCAGTGCTTTGGTTTGGGGGCTGGGAAGGGGGGACTATGTCCAATAGCAGTGCTTTGGTTTGGAGGGCTGGGAAGGGGGGGCAGCTTTACGGATTAGTGTTAAGGATGACATCCCTTGATCCACTGAAGTCTGTCCCGGCGAAGTTCTGGAACAGGGCATCACTCGTCAGACATCTGGGTCCACGCTGCAGGCACCCACGTCCTGCTGCGCTCTGACCAGACATGAAGTCCGAGGACTGAGTCCCAAACGCCCTCACAGTGCAGGGCCCGGTACACCCGCCCACACCCTGCATGTACTGAGACCCCCGCTCTCTGCTGGGCCCTCCCGCACCCGCGCCTGCCTGGCCGCCCCAGGGCCGGGGTGCACACTCTCCTCAACCTCCACACACTAGGTAGACTCGAGATTTTGCTTTCGCCACTGGGGCCCTGGGCAGCCTTTCCCAGGCCGGGCTCCTGGGTGAAGGAGGACCCATCACTCCTCTCTGAACAGAATCCCCGTCCTGCCGTCGCTGGGCACTACGCCCACACCACAGGAGACTCCGGCAAGAAGCATCCCCGCCACCCTGATGCATGTCGTCCAGTCTAGAATTTCTCCATCCACAGGTCCGCAACCCACCGCAGCGGCACTTGGAGGTTTCGACAGCCAGAAACCCATCTGCTCCCCACCGGAAACGTGACATTTGCAGCAAAACTACGGCGTTTCGGAGACAGAGAACATTTTGTGCACCAAACCCCGTGTGGTCACCAAGAAAAATGTCCTTAAAGCAGCCGTAAGCAGCATCAAAGGTCAGTAGACACACTGCCCTTTCCTGCGGCCCAGTGCAGGGCCTCCCGTGGGGGAACGTGGAATCAGCACCCCAGGTGTCATCCATTTTCAAAGGGACTACACAGGCTGGAACCAGACTTCGGATGACTCGGCAGTAACATTCACGCGGCCGTGTGCAGGGGCTGGGAAGTCCTCCTGTCCCGAGGCTCTGCTTTCTGTTCACAAAACGGAGGGCACCACAGAGCCCGCTGGGAATAAACAACAGGGCAGGCCTGCATCTTGAAGGGTGTCACGTGTCACTGGAGCTGCAGAAGGAAGGTGACCAAGGTGTCCCAACGGCGTGTCAGCTGTCTCATGGGCTCACTTCTAGCTCCTCGCCTGCCCTGCATACTCCATCCCCGCAAAAGAGCGAAAGAAATCTTCGTGCGGTGGCGCTCCGAGCAGTACGCCCCGCGCCCAGCGCTCACGACACTCCGGGCCCGAACCGGTAAGTCAGTACCCATGCAGTGGTCCTGCTCTGCACCAGAATGTCCGAGACATGCACTCGGGGTCTGCTGCCCGAGTCCAGGTGTGGACTCCAGACGGGAGCGCACGCCGCGGCAGTGAACAGCGGTGTGCGCAGGGACGGGACAAGGACAGACCGGGACAGAGTCCGTCCCCGGCGCGCTCGCGTGGCAGAATCTTCGACAGGCCTTCCCACGCGGACAAGGCTCGCCGTGCTGACGGCTGCATCTCACCCGGCTGAACGGTGGCTGTGTGCGTTACATTCCAATAAAGCTGCTACCAAAACAGGGCCGGTCGGGCACGCGGCGCAACGCAAGGGTCGGTCAGCATTCACTCCCCTTTCTCCCCCGCGGGCTGGCTGTGGGTGACCTCGGTTCCCTTCGGCCCACTGCTGGGCGCCGCCCCTCAGGTAGCAGACGGCAGCTGCGAGGCTGAGAGTCTGAACGCCCTCTGCTCTGGGCACCGCCCCGGCAGGGTCAGGTTTGAGGTCCTCGCCCGCTCACCGTGCCATGCTGTTCCCTCCCTCCTCCCCTCCCTCCCGCCACCCTGGTTCATCGATGTTCCCTCAACCCCGAAGCGCTCTCACCCCGGCTTCCTCTCTGCGGCCCACGAGCCTGCCGTCCACACTTCAGCAGGTGTCGAAATGCCACCAACCCAACTCAAGTGTCCCTTCCACGGAGAGGCCCGGCCTTCCCAGCTGCTCTGGCACATGCTGGCCACCCTTCCTGAGATCCCCACGGCAGTGAGGGCCCACGTCACCCACAGGACACCACCCACGAACGCCACCCATGGGCACCATCCACGGGACACCATGCAGACACCACCTACACCACCCACAGACACCAGCCACGGAACCACCCACGGACACCAGCCATGGACACCAGCCACGGACGCCACCCACAGACACCACCCACGGGACACCATCCATGGACACCAAACAGCACAAACACCACCCACGGACACCACTCATGGACACCACCCATGGGACACAATCCAGACACCACCCACAGCACCCACGGACACCACCACCATGGCTTTGTGCCCCTCACCCACCCGCAATGCCTACCGCGGGACACACACAGCTCCCACCTTCGCACACCGCACACACTGCAGAGCGACAGGTTCGAAGGGCAGCCCGGCCAGGCACAGACACGTGTCACACACAGTGGTCTGCAAAGGGTGCTTTGATTACATGGGAACCAGCCTCGCTGTCACCTGGGTGAAGCAGAGCCACCGATACGGCAGCTGCGGACGCGGGAGGCCCCGTCCCCACGAATCTGTCCGGGACAACGGGGCACGTGGGGCTCAGACGGAAGGGAACGCCTCCAGGAGCCGGCGACACAGGGCAGGGCCAGACAAGGTGTTTCCAGAGCCTTCCAGCTGGTCCCCAGGGACACAGCTGCCGCTTTGCGAACACACTGTGAGAGGAGCAAGCCAGACAGAAGGACCCGTCCCAGACCTGTGTCAGTTCTCACAAGTCAGCCTCCCGAGCGAAACCCAGGACCCGCTCCACACGTGGGAAAGAAACCAGGGGGTGCCGAGCCCGGCAGCAGACACCCTGAAGTCACCATTTCCTGCCATGCCTGCCGGCCAGCAGCTGAGTGACACGCTTGTCGGGACCTGCGGATGCCAGCCAAACCACCTGCACGAGAGGCCTCGAGACACGGCTGTGGCCAGTGCCCACACGGCGTGATCGAACCTGCGGACACAGAACACGCAGAGGCTCCCCACGCCCGCCACGCAGGAAAAACCCCTTTCACAGCTTCACTTACTCAGAGCCAAACGGGGCCCGTCCTGTCTTCCTTCCAGGGTTTGTGTTTACACCCGCGTCCTGTCTTCAGTTACCTGTCAATGAAAAACACCCAAGGTGAGCTACAGTATCAATGGGAATATAGGCCGAAGTATATTCTTTCTTTCTTTTTCTAGAAAGAGAGGGGAAGGGAGATGGAGGGAGGGAGAGCGAGCGAGCAAGAGACATCGATGAGAGAGATACATCCATGAGCTGCCTCCTGCACTCCCCTCCTGGGGGCGAGTCCTGACCAGGAATCGAACCGGCGACCGCTCGGTGCACGGGACAACGCTCAGCTAACTGAGCCACGCCGGCCAGGGCTGAAGTATAGTCTCGACAGCTCCATAAGCAGCCAGGCACCCGAGTTAAGTGCTAGGAGCGGAAGTGACTGTGTCAGGGGGTGGACGACATCACCGTGAGTGCCAGGCTCACGTCTCTGTGCAGAACAGTGAGACCGCACACACACACCCGTTCACTGCAACAAGCTGAGACCACGTCATTTCAGCAACTGAAACCTCTGTTCTACCACCAGGCACGTTCCGCACCAACCCTGAGCACGCTCAGCGAAAACAGGTATTTATTTCTACATGCAGCATACTCAGCCGACTTTCACTGACAAGTCCTCGTTCAGTCGCATGGAAAAAGGGCATCAGGGCTCACGCCCTGGGATTACGGATGCAGAAGGTCTCTGACCTTGGGGACTCGCCCATCTGGCTCCACCTTGCTGAAGGAAGAGCAAGGACCATAAAGTGTACGCAGGTGGACAACGAGGTCATTTAACATGGGAGACCAGGCCGGTCGAGCTGGGCAGTGTGACATAAAGTGACCAGGAAAGGAGTCTGCAGTGGGGGCTGGGGCAGGGCAGGCTGCGGACACGGCCAGTGCAAATGTCCTGTGGTGAGTGGCTTTGAGAGGAGGAAGGCCAGGGGGCTGGGCAGCAGGAGGGAGTGAGTGACGGCAGGTCCAGGACCACAGAGGGCCTTACAGCCGGCACGAAGAGGGCCACGGGGACTACACACCGGATGGGGACAGGAGAAAAGAACCCAGGTGACTCCGAAGTTAGGGCGTGAGTGGCAGCCCGAAGGCGGGGCCACATCCTGCAATGCAGGAAGGCCGAGGGGAGAGACCTCAAGCCTTCCTTTAATGCGCGGACTCTGAAATGTTCACTCCATCGCCACGGTCACTGGTAACTGGGTACTTGAATCCACACGTCCGAGCGAGCGGGAGAGATCGCAATCACAGCTACGTCCGGGAGCCGTCTTGGAACCTCGATCTTGACGCTGTGCCCCTGGCCGGGAACGGGTCCAGGGAGGGCGTGCTTCCCCATCCTCCGCCCTGCCGACACTCGGATCACATCGTTCTCTGTGGGGCCGGCCTGTCCCTGCAGGACGCTTGGCAGCATCCCTGGGTCTCTACCCACTAGAAGCCAGCACCCTCCACACCTCCCAGCTGTGACCAGCAAATCGGCTCCAGACGCTGCCAAGTGTCCCCTGGAGGGTACGTTCGCCCTGCTGAGCACCACTGCTCTAAACACAAAGCTGAGGAGTGAACCCCAAGGGACAAGCAAGGGGTGTGCGGGAGGCAGGAGGCAATCCAGAATGGTGGGGCGTCCCTGTCTGGCAGTGGCAAACAACTCTCCACAATCAGAGAGTGACCAGCAAACAGCTGCTGAGAGATGAATGACAAGGAAGACACGATGGACAGGATAACGAGGAGTCACAGTCTCGTCTTCGCATGTTCCTTGCGCGGGAGAAATCTAGACGGGCTTCCTGGAGGAGGTGGCACTCCTGCCGGCACATGAAGTCAGGTGAGGAGGAGGAGAAAGGGGTTGCACCTTGTGCTGTGCTGGAGACAACAAATGAGGGCGGCGGGGTGTCGGGTGACGCTCTCATGGTGCTCAGGAGAGAGGGAAGGGGTGCGTGGACAGGATGGGGCTGCCCTATGCAGCCTGGGCAAGATGACTAGGCAGATGGCACACTCCCCGCGGGGGCGACTCCCCAGTGCTGAACCACCTGCGGAGTTGCACCCCAGCAGCAGCCAGGGCGCCCCTCGCTGAGACCGCTGGCCAGTCCTTTCCGACCTGCACCCCAGCAGCTGAGCCCCTGGCCTCCCGAGGGGTGCATTCGGGACCAGCAGGCCCTGGGTTCGAGGGGCGCCTCATGGGAAGGTGACAGCCCCTACCCTTCCTGCCGTTTTTCCTTTCATCTTCTCTAACCTCTCAGGGCACACGCCCCTCCCCCCCCGCAGATGATGCCCAGCAACCCCCCAGGAGGAAGCCCACAAGTTCGCCAGATGCCCCATCGGCACGGCCCCGCTCCGCCCTCACCCCGGCGCCTCCCCGAGCACGTGCGTTGCATCAAAACAAGACAACGTTTTAAAAAAGGCAGCGTCACAGGCCTGGCTTTGCTCCTAATTAATGACACGAGACTCCCTCTGGACCAGAGAACTCTCGGCTGTGAAATGAGGGTATTACATTATTTATGAGGTTTCACCCACATCCCCAAACCCAGGGAACCATTCTCCCGACGACTTTCCTCGTCATTCCACGCCAGGACCTGAGGGACAACTTGCCAAGCTCCAGGAGGCACGGGACCGCGGGGACGTGTGAATCCGTGTGTCCCTGCGGCGACTGAGCCCAGGAGGACACCCAAAGGGTGCAGTGCTTCCCCACTTGCACGGACAAGGACTAACATTCCCACTCGGGGAGACCTTCGAAGGGCGCCGTCACGAAACTGACGTGAGAAACAGAAAACATCAGTACCACTGAGCATGCCCGCGGAGCCGCAGTCCCCTCCTGAGTCCTCTTCTGTGTTCCGTGAGCCCTGGAATAATCGGACCAGGGCCAGGGGCCGAGCCGGGTCCTGGCAGGTGCCGGAGATTCGGAACCACTTTGTGGCTGCGGGTCCCAGGGCCGTGTGCCCAAATGGAAAGCAAGCTTGTGACAATCCATCAGTAACAGGTTTGAAATCCTTTAAGCCAGTGGTTCTCCAACGGGATTGACTTGGGCCCCAGGGACACTGGGCAATGTCTGGGGACATTTTTCGTTGTCAGGACTGGAGGAAGGCTGCTAACCCTCCTACGGCACCTGGGCCACCCCCCTTCGCAAAGAACTGTCTGGCCCAATGATCACTACTGCCAGGGTTAATCCCACTAAACTTTCTACAGTTTTACAGGCGGTATGTCCCACATACTTGCATCTTCCAGCACATTTTTATTTTCAAAGTAACACACGTAATAGTTTTAAAAAGTAAAATACAGGTGAGGAGAAAGGCTCCTCTCTCTCTTTTTCTTTTAATCCTCAACCGAGGATATTTTCCCATTTATCTCAGATACAGTAGGAGGGAGAGAGAGAGAGAAACATCGATGTGAAAGAGACACACCGACTGGCTGCCTCCCACACGACCCCTGACCAGGGCTGGGGACGAACTGCAACCGAGGTACATGCCCTTGACCGGAATCAAACCCGCGACTCATTGCCCTGCAGGCCAACACTCTAACCACTGAGCAACCGGCCAGGTTGGGGCTCCTCTTTTTAATTCCACACTTTTTAGCACCATCTACCCCCAATTCTATTTCCAAAACCAAGCACTTTCAAACCTTAGAAGGTTTTTTTTTCTGTACTGATTTTAGAGAGAGAGGAAGGGAGAGGGAGAGACAGACAGAAACATCCATGGGAGAGAACATCACTGGGCCGCCTCCTGCACGGCCCCCACTGGGGATCGGGCCCACAACCCAAGCACATACCTTGACCGGGAACCGAACCGGTGACCTCTGCTTGGGTCGATGCTCAACCACTGAGCCACACAGGCCGGAGTAAATCTTAAAAGGGTTTTTATTACTGGCGTGCCCCCCATGTTTCTGAATAACCTACTTACAACGTGCCCTGTCAACGTAACGTATGACTGGCTTGATTTTCTCCCATACAGACGAGGACTTTGATTTTTAAAATTCCATACAGTCCCCTCCCCCACTTTGCCCACAGTATACCTGCTTGGGGTTAAATCTGGACCTGGCACACGCTAGCTAATCTGACAATGGGGTGGGTACTGCGGAGAAAGCAGAATAAAGGGTATGATTATGACTCTTTCCTTACATGGCTTTTGTGTTTTCCTGCAGTTACTAGTTGCCTTTTTTTTAAATCCTCACCTGAGGACATTTACCCAGTTTTTGTTCAGATAGACTGGGAGGGAGGGGGAGGGAGAGAGAGAAACATCGACGTGAAAGGGACACATCGAGTGGCCGCCACCCACACGACCCACCAGGGCCGGGGACAAACTGCAACCAAGGTACGTGCCCTTAGCGGGAACCGAACCCAGGTCTCTCTGGACCACAGGCCGATGTTCTAACCGCTGGGCCAAACCGGCCAGGGCTTCCTTTGTTTTTATTCCTTCATTTCCTTTGTATTCTTTGCTAATTCTTCCAACATTCTCCACAATCTTTCGATGCAATTTTTTCACCTGATCAAAACTCTCAGGTACTCTATCAACTCCATGTCTTTCTGCCCAAATAGATACACACCACAGCTTCTTCCTGCGATTTCTTGTCTCTGCTCTGCTCACGAGCCCTGAAACCACACCCGTGTCTGGAGAATTCCTTCTGGCTCTTTCTCCTGGGATCTCAAACCTCCGCTTCCTTGGGCTACTGTCCCATTTTGTCGGCACACATTCTTCAGGAACTTCCTGAGAGGTCACGTGTGACAAGCTACATTGTACTCATCTCCTCATTAAAGTGTGGGCCACGAGTAGCTCCAGTTGTTCATATGGGAAAATAACACAGTGATGAGTAAATAATAAAAATAAACTGTGTCACATACTCACAGTGGTGAAACTACTTTGGCCCCACCCCGTATATGCAAATAACTCTGTTCTATCTTAATGAGCCATTAGCAAAGGAATGACTTCCACATTCCAAAGGGAATACTATTTTCAGACTCGTAGGCCCCAGCTGTTTTTCCAATCTCCAATGCCGCTGCTAAGAAATCTGATGTCGCCCTGGCCGGTTCGGCTCAGCGGTGAGAACGTCGGCCTGCGGTCCAGAAAGACCCGGGTTCGGTTCC